GGGGAATAAGGGGAGGAGGAGGGGGGAAGAAGGGGAGAAGGAGGGGAGAAGGAGGGGAGAAGAAGGGGAGAAGGCGGGGAGATGTCACCTCTCCAGCCATTTCCACTGCAGGAACCTGTTGAAGAACATACTGTCCAGATAATCTGCAAATGGCGCCACACTCAGGTAGTCGTGGATTAATCTGGAAATGACACGATAAAACAAAATGATAACCTCTGTCATACCACACTGCCCCATGTGGCCAAGAGCACTCATTACACTAGCTATTGACAAACAAATGAGTCACGAGTCAGGGCTAACTAAAAATGTGTCTGATTTGTAAAGATTTACAGCCAAACATCGCCTCCTGGTGGCTGACTAATGTAATGTAATTCTGGTCTGGACTGGAACGTTGTGATCGCCGTGACTTTCCCTCTTTGTTTGTAGGGTTTCACGCTGAGCAGCGTCAGAAGAACAAACGCCAGCGTGTGGAAGAGAGCGCCCCCATGTGGTCTTACTTGGTACAGTCCTTGAAAAGTTCTTTGCAGGCCCCTTTTTCCTGCTGCAGCTTCTCACTGCACTGGTCCCTCAGGGCTGCGTCCAGCTCCGACACGTGGTCACATGACTGCGTAACAAGAACAGGGGTGTTCAGTCCACGCTACACTGTGGACCTCCCTCCCCGCCCCCCCCGTCAGCAGAAGATACCTGTGGGTTGAAGAACTTCTGGACGACCTCCTGACCTCTCTCTCTTCTCTCCACGTCAGGCGTCACCTCGTACTCAGCCTGCAGGGGCGGAGACATGTCACAGTTCCCTCCATACATCAGTGATGATGTCACTGATTGACGTTAATATTTTACTCCTTCATACATCAAACATCTCAGCGTCTGATTTAGAGAGCAGGATTTTCAAAGTCTCTCTCTCTCTCTCTCTCTCTCTCACACACACACACACACACACACAGATACACTCACCACTGCGTCCAGAAACTTGATACAGCGTCCCAGTCCAGGCCTGGTCTCACAGAACTGTCTGAACAACAATCGTCCAATCGGCTGACGCTCACACAGACTGATGTAGTCTCTCTCTACACAAACACACAACACTGGGGGTCAAAGGTCAAGTCCGGAGACTGTGTTCATTCAAACTCAATCTGTATATGAAGCATGATCAGACTGATGGAGGATGATCATCTTCTGATCCAGATTATAATCTAGATGATGAAGTCAATAAAAAGATGTTGCAAAAACAGAACTTCAGAGAAACAGTTCAGACCAAAGTCCATGGAGAAAATTAGAGATTTTAGTTCAGACCAAAGTCCACGGAGAAAATTAGAGATTTTAGTTCAGACCAAAGTCCATGGAGAAAATCAGTGATTTTAGTTCAGACCAAAGTCCATGGAGAAAATCAGTGATTTTAGTTCAGACCAAAGTCCATGGAGAAAATCAGGGATTTTAGTTCAGACCAAAGTCCATGGAGAAAATTAGAGATTTTAGTTCAGACCAAAGTCCATGGAGAAAATTAGAGATTTTAGTTCAGACCAAAGTCCATGGAGAAAATCAGTGATTTTAGTTCAGACCAAAGTCCATGGAGAAAATTAGAGATTTTAGTTCAGACCAAAGTCCATGGAGAAAATCAGGGATTTTAGTTCAGACCAAAGTCCATGGAGAAAATTAGAGATTTTAGTTCAGACCAAAGTCCACGGAGAAAATTAGAGATTTTAGTTCAGACCAAAGTCTATGGAGAAAATCAGAGATTTTAGTTCAGACCAAAGTCCACGGAGAAAATTAGAGATTTTAGTTCAGACCAAAGTCTATGGAGAAAATCAGAGATTTTAGTTCAGACCAACTGTGGCGTCTCTGTCAACTGAAATCACGGTGTTTTTTTCCATGTGGGTCTTTGGTCGTTCTTGGCCTAAACACTATACCCTCTGTTTCTTCTCTGTTTTTCACCTCTTCCTTTTTCATCCTCATCTCCTCTTCTTCCTGAGCTGCTTTGTATTTGTACACATCAATGATGCAAAACTAATGTCTCCTTGGAGCTGTATTCAAAGGTCCTGAAGCTCAGCTGCACTGTGACCTGGAGTAACCTGAAAGGTTGTTACTGCTGTTACTGCTGCTGCTGTTACTGCTGCTGTTACTGCTGCTGTTACTGCTGCTGCTGCTGCTGTTACTGCTGCTGCTGCTGCTGTTGCTGCTGCTGTTGCTGCTGCTGTTACTGCTGTTACTGCTGCTACTGCTGTTACTGCTGCTGCTGTTACTGCTGTTACTGCTGCTGTTGCTGCTGTTACTGCTGCTGTTACTGCTGTTACTGCTGCTGTTACTGCTGTTACTGCTGCTGTTACTGCTGTTACTGCTGCTACTGCTGTTACTGCTGCTGCTGTTTCTGCTGCTGCTGTTACTGCTGCTGTTACTGCTACTGCTGTTACTGCTGCTGCTGTTTCTGCTGCTGCTGTTACTGCTGCTGTTACTGCTGTTACTGCTGCTGTTGCTGCTGTTACTGCTGCTGTTACTGCTGCTGCTGTTACTGTTGTTACTGCTGCTGCTGCTGCTGTCAGAGTTGAATATGAAAAGGAGGAAGTGGTCACTTCCTGAATCTGTTTCTCAACAGACCTCCTCCATTTTATGAGAAGCCAACAAAGTGAGAAGAGAGAAGATCTTTTCATCTTCGTGAGGTTTTCTTCTTCTCTGTGTTGGAGCTCACTCCAAGCTTCTTCTTCAGCTTCACTCTGAAATATTCTGCCCAGTTCACTCTGGCTCAGAGACTGTGTGAGATGAGGAGGTCAGGGTTGGACATTTGGATTGTACTTTAGATCAATGGTTATGTGTGTGTGTCTATTTGTGTCACAGCATCAACAACAAAAACACCATTCACTTCTGATGAGGTCAAAGGTCACCGACAGGGCTTTAAATCTGGAGCCAATTCAGAAAATGAAACTGCCTCATGACCCAACATCAGCATCACAACCTGTGACCTTCGACCTTTCACAAACTTCATTAACAAATCTAAATCATCTTCTACCATCTGTTTCATTTTTGTAAACAATGTATTTCTTTGATTAAAAGACTTTGCCTTAAGGTAAATGACAGACCAGAAATAGTCCAGATAAAAATAGAGACGTGACTGATATTATCTGTTCACACTGGAAAATAAAGCTACAGTTATTCAAACAAACAATGTTCAGACTAAAATCTCTGATTTTCTCCATGGACTTTGGTCTGAACTAAAATCTCTGATTTTCTCCATGGACTTCTGTGTGGTAGTTGACTTCCATACAGCTGTCAACAGGTTCTGTAGATAGGACACAGTAATACAGTAAGTGCCGCCCCACATTTCTTTCAAACACTACAGATAACGTCCGTGTGGACCAATGAGGAACTGCTCCTGGGCCAGTTGAAGTTCTTGGTTCCTCTGTGAATACATTATTAATTATTAAAATAAAATGAACCGAAATCTAAAACATGAAATGTTATTTTTCTAATGTGCGCAGCAGCGCCACCACTGGTCGTTCAGATGATTCTGGGCTCTTGACAGAAACTTTGATTTCTGACAGAGAACGGTCGGAAATCAAACTGTTTTTGATTCTAACGTCGGGATCATCAGCGTCTGTTTCCTCTTTCTGCTTCACCACAGTTTCCTCTCTGCTGCTTCATCACTCTTTCTGAGTGTGTGTGTGTGTGTGTGAGTGTGTGAGTGTGTGTCTGGTCTTACCAATGCTCTGTCGCAGCTCTTCACACAAACTGATGTGCGGAAACTGAAGCATCTGCTTCCACTTCTTGCTTTTTCCTTTCCTGTTGCCGACTCCTCCTGGAGAACACACAGTTTTGGGTCAGTTCTGCCTGGAGCCAGCAGGGGTCACTCTCCAAAGAAACACGGCCTCCATGTGGAGGAGTGGATGGAGCTCCTGCTTTACACACCAAGGAGGTTTGACTCCCACGTCTTTAGCTCCAAGACCCCGGTCCACTGTGGACACCTGACCACCAGCACTGTGTGTGTGTGTGTGTGTGTGTGTGTGTGTGTGTAACACTGTAACAGTGAACTTCAGTTTGAGAGTGAACACTTCAAAGCATCAGCAGCAACATCCTGTTTCACAACAACTGTAAAGATGCTGCAACATCACACACACACACACACACACACACACACACACACACAGCTTCAGGATCTAACCCTGAATAAAGACTTGTCAACTTGACTGTGTCCACTCTCTGTACCGACAGTGGACAGTGGACAGGTCCACTCTACAGAGACGTCTTTTGCCCCACTGTGGCTGTTGAACTGAGAGAAGTGTAACTATCAGACTAACTAGATAGTCTAGAGTAACTAACTAGTAACTAACTAGTAAGTGTTGGACAGATGTGTCTCCTCACAGCTGCGTCATGTCTTCGATCCTTTCCGACTCTTTCAACGATTACAGAACAACAAGACCGAACCGGTTCACTTTGTACTTTCATCTAAAACCCGGTGGGCGGCGCTGTTGAGCCGCAGCGTCTACTCTTTGATCTCGGGCCCAGAGGAAGTGGACGGCCGGGTCACATCATGGTGTGAGCCCGGACTCTGTCGGAGGATCATCTCCATCCTCTTACCTTCTCGTGCCTTGAGCAGCACCGTGTTGGCCACGATGTTCTCCAGCTCCATGTCGATCTCTGTTCTCTGTGGTCCGAGCAGCAGCTTCTCACCGCGGCTTCTTCTCCCCGAGCTCCGGCCACCGGCTCCTCCTGCCGCCGAGCCGAGGAACACAACTCAGACTGCCGCTGGTTGGAGACCGTAGTGTCCGGGGGAACTCCGTAACTCCTCTGGAGTGTCCTCCCCCAGCAGCTGCTGCTCTGTCCTCCCCCTGGTCCTCCCCCTGGTCCTCCCCCTGGTCCTCCCTCTACCATCTCATGTCATGTTATCAACTCATACAAGTCGACGGACGTTTTGATAAACATCAGATCACACCTAGTGAGTAAAGTAAGAGATGAGTGACGTCATTAACAGTTAGCTATCGGAACTGAACGATAACCTTTTCTTTAACCTTTTAAGGATTTGTACATACGATCCAGGAAGCGTTACGATGCTCACGGTTTAAGGCTTTAACTTGACGTAAACTGTACTTCAACAAGCGGTCTATGCTAGTCTGACACCTAGAGGATAACAGTAGACACTGCATCTTTACATGTCGCCAGAACGTATGAAAGTTCAACGTTCGTCACTGAATTCTCAGATGTTGTTAATGTTGCTAAGGAGAATTATTCATCATACAAAATAATGTGTCAAATTGTGGTTTCTATTCTGGTAAATATATTTGATTTTTAGTCTTTAAATATAAAAATGTTCAGTTATAAATATGACTTTTCCTTTACTGAAAATTAATGATTTATAATACGACACTTTATATACGATATACATATAAAATAAAATAAAATATATATATATATATATACAGTATATGCTGTGAAGAACAATTATATTAGAATTATAGCGACGTCAGCGGTGGAGTCACGTGACAGGAATGAACCAAACACGTGTTTCCTGGTTTATTACACGTTGAACGCTGATCTTGGAAAACAGAACGTTTTCTTCATTGTTTTTCCACAGCGGAACATTTTAAAAAGACGACGATGGTCAAGACGAAACAGTCCAAAGGGAGAAAAAAGTTCGACTATGACAAGAACCGGAAGAAGCTGAAGAAGAAGTTTCTTAAAAAGCAGAAGCCAACGATCGAAGAGTAAGTTAGCCGCTGTTAGCATGCTAGCTACGTCTCTTTAACGTTTTAACTCCTTTGTTTAAACTTGGTGTTCGAGGTCACATGATTAGCTTTACAGCCGGTCAATCGACTAAACCCGGTGTGTAATTCAGAGTCGATGTTACCGATAATTCGATGAGGGTTATCATAATCGTAGGTAATGTAACAACTCTGACCGGTGTTTGTACCGAGTTTAATGAAAGGGTTAACTGGGTTAGTGCGGGTTAACTAAACCAGTTGATGCCAGACACTAAACCACCGTTAGTCACTGGTGTAAAGTCAGCTTCAGTTCAACCCTGTGATAAAACCAGGTTTAAGGCTAACTCTGGGTCACATCCTTAAAATGACCAACTAGTAACTTCCTGTGGGATTATTGTAATCCACTGCTGATTCAGTTTGTTAATCACCGTCTGTGTCTTCAGTCGTCAGGTGAGACGAGCGTGGGACGAACACAAGTCTGTGTCCAGGAACCTCCGAGACATGGGTCTGTCCTTGGATCCCAACAGATCTCTCCCCATAAAGAAGAGCAGTGTAAGTGGAGGAGGTGGGCCTCATTACAAACCACAGCATCTGTAGGTGGCGCTAAAACCAAGACCATTTTGTTTCAGTCTGGCTCCCAACCTTAGATTAAATGAGGTGTTGACATCAGAGAAGAAGAAAATGAGCCAATCACACGCAGACGTTTGTCATTCATTTGAATCTTTTAATATTTTCAGTTGCTGGGAGACCAGAGTGAGACACCTGCAGGCTCCGCCCTCATCACCAAACCCTACGTCCTCAACCGTAAGCTATTGTCGTTGACTGGGGTCATGTGACCCACTCTTATGGCCTTGACAGTCATGCACACGTGTGAACTTTCCCTTTTGTGATTGGCTCAGAGCTGGAAGAGGAGGCGGGGCGACCGCAGAAAAACTCAAAGACGTTATCGAGCGACCTGATAGAGTTTGTCCAGCACATGATCAGAGAACACCAGGATGACCACAAGGTGAGGACGGACACACACTCACACTCACACACACACACACACACTCACACACTCTGACCACCTGACCTTAAAATAACAGGCCATGGCTCGAGATGAGAAGAACTACTACCAGGACACGCCCAGTCAGATCAGGAGGAAAATCAACGATTACAAACGCTGCCACCCGGTGGACTACCAGGCTTTCATCAGCTCTTTATCTGCTGCAGCTCAGTGACGGGTGGAGACGACGATGTATCTGTGATGGATGTTCAGCTGGAGGACGTCCTCACAGCGTCTGTGGACAGGACAGGCGTGGAGACCAGTCACTACGTTACTTGAGTGAGCAGAAATGTCCTGATCACTGATCGGTTAAAGGAGTTGTTTTGAAGGAGCGTTCGCTCGACCAGAGACCAGAGTTAGTGTGAAGATAATCTGCTGATCGCAGTTTTCTAACACCGACAACCACCACCATACAGTCGCTGTGATTTATTTTGCGGTGAGTTGAGTTTTAGGAACCGGTTCAGGAAGGAGTCATCGTGAAAAATGAATCTTTGTAAAAAAACAAAATAAAATCCATGTTGAGAGAAAATGAAGTTGTATTTCATTCCTTCCTGGTTTTGTTGTCGTCTCAGGTTCCTTTCACATTCACTTCCACGGTGACCTCTTGACCTCCTGCTCTTAGTTCATAAATCACAGCTCAGAGTTGTTATTTTGTGACTTCAGTTTGGTGAACCGCAGAGAGGCAAACTGGCCACAGGAGGCAGCAGCGGACCAGCAGCCCGTGTCTCATGAAATTATATTTAGTTTAAATATTATTCAGGGTTATTTTTTTATCTTTGTTTTGAAGTGTTGGTTCTGTCCACACCACAAACTGTTGACCCCAAACACTGAAAGTTCCAGGACCCGGGTCTGAATAAGAACCGATTCATCACCGTCATCCAGGACGAAACGAAGGACCAGGACAATTAGTTCAACTCATCCTGGTGCTGCTGCAGCCTCGCAGCTGGTCCACACCCCTGACCTTTACTGGTCCACACCCCTGACCTTTACTGGTCCACACCCCTGACTCAGTAGAGGGTGCTGAGTCCTACATGTTGTTTTTAGGGTAAGTTCAAAAACACAGTAACACTGACTTCTTAAATGATACGTCCTTCAGGGAAACTTAAGACTTAAAGTTAAGGCAATATATTTATTTGGAATGTTTTTTTAATATTTGATCATAGAACTATTATATTTATTTTTTTTATTTCCAGTTATATTATTATTTTTGTTCAAAAGGTATTCCAATAATTAAAAACATGAATAAATTATCTTGTGTATTCTATAATACAAAAGTAACAGATGAGGTAGCGCTAGGACTACATATATACATATACATATACATATGTATAAGTTTGTGTTGTACATATGTATATGTATGTATTTAATTATGAACCGCGGCGGTGACCTAAAGTTCCCTTGAACATTAGTCTAACTTTATTTAGAAAATTCTAGCCGGAAGTAGATGGAGCGGATGAGTTGCACTTGACAGCGGTAAAACATCCGAAAGTCGTCGGGAATGAACACTTAGCCCCTCGGTATTTTTCACGTCTTTTCCGCCTTTTTTAAAGCCGAGGCTCAACAGAAGTGAATCTTTAACAAGTTGACGGAGGGTTGAACTTGGACTTTGGTCTTGTTGGAGAACCACAGAGCGTCCCGTTGCATTTGTGTATTGTTTAGTAGTGTTTCTCCCGCAGCTGCGGCAGCAGGCTGTTAGCTTCGCTTCCTCGGCGCTAACAACATGGAGGCGGCCTGGAAGCAGCGCACGGAGACGTGAAGAGACCGGGCTCAGAGAGGCTCCGCCGGGCGCCTTACACACGACAACACTGAGAGCTTAAACTGCTGTGGACACACGGACACCCAGAGCACCACTGTAGCAACTGCACCTTCTGTGGAGCCGTCTGTGCAGAAACAGCAGCCGCGGCAAGTGCGGCGGCGGCAGCGGCGTCCTTCGCTCCCGCAGCCGAAAATATCATTGCCTTTGGTTTGTAAGAATACGCCGAACTCGGGCCTGGAAAAGTTGTGAAAACATGCGCCCCCTGCGTGGAAACAGCGCCAATCTGCGGCCGAGCTCAAAAACGACGCGGTGAAACAGAACTGTCGCAGCGCGGAGCGACGCAGCACGTCTCGGTTGATGGAGACGCAGCTGCTGAAATGCCCAGGAAGGAGTTACCGCTGCCGCAGGGCTGGGAGGAGGCCAGAGACTTCGATGGAAAAGTCTACTACATAGACCACATCCACCAGTGCACGAGCTGGATCGACCCCAGAGACAGGTAGGACCTGTGACCTGTGACCTGTGACCTGTGCTCCACTGGACATGAACCAGACTTGACGGACAGACTGGGTCCTGTGAGACGATGCTCATCACACACACCCAACACACACCTGACTCCTGTGAAGCCAAACCACAGAGTGGACATTTTTAACTGACCTGTAAAGTGCAGTCGGAGAACCTGCCTCGTTAGGAACCAAACCTCAGTTTTTGTTGCACTTTTACTAAGAAAGATGCGACCGATCTGAAAGGATCAGACGGGTCCAGATATGACACCGTCATGGCGGCCTCTGTGTTGTGATGTAAAGAGTGAAGAACCGTGAAGAATAGCCACACGTTTAGTTGTTACTAAAACCAAGGCGTCAGTTGGAGTTGACGTCGTTAACCAACCAGCTCTGTCTGTCATTCCCAGTTTCTGTGGTGTTGATGCTCATGTGTTGGGGGCGGGGCTCCGACTCCAAAACATCTGTATCATCAGCAGCAGTAACAGCAGCAGCATTAGCATCAGCAGCATTAGCATCAGCAGCAGTAACAATCCCTTGATGTCCACCTCAGAGAATTCCTCTCCTAACTCCTTGGCTCCTTGACTCCTTGACTCCTTGACACCTTGACTCCTTGGCACCTTGGCACCTTGGCACCTTGACTCCTTGACTCCTTGACTCCTTGACGCCTTGACTCCTTGACACCTTGACTCCTTGACTCCTTGACTCCTTGGCACCTTGGCCCCTTGACTCCTTGACTCCTTGACACCTTGACTCCTTGACACCTTGGCTCCTTGACACCTTGACTCCTTGGCTCCTTGGCACCTTGGCTCCTTGGCACCTTGACTCCTTGGCTCCTTGGCACCTTGACTCCTTGACTCCTTGACACTTTGGCTCCTTGACTCCTTGACACCTTGGCTCCTTGACACCTTGACTCCTTGACTCCTTGACACCTTGGCTCCTTGACTCCTTGACTCCTTGGCTCCTTGACACCTTGACTCCTTGACTCCTTGACTCCTTGGCTCCTTGGCACCTTGGCTCCCTGACTCCTTGACACCTTGGCTCCTTGACTCCTTGGCTCCTTGGCTCCTTGGCACCTTGGCTCCTTGGCTCCTTGACACCTTGGCTCCTTGACTCCTTGGCACCTTGGCACCTTGGCACCTTGGCTCCTTGACTCCTTGACTCCTTGGCTCCTTGGCACCTTGGCTCCTTGGCTCCTTGACACCTTGACTCCTTGGCTCCTTGGCTCCTTGGCACCTTGGCTCCTTGGCTCCTTGACACCTTGACTCCTTGACTCCTTGGCTCCTTGGCTCCTTGACCCCTTGACTCCTTGACACCTTGACTCCTTGGCACCTTGGCACCTTGGCTCCTTGACTCCTTGACACCTTGGCTCCTTGACACCTTGGCTCCTTGACTCCTTGGCTCCTTGACTCCTTGGCTCCTTGACTCCTTGGCTCCTTGGCTCCTTGACCCCTTGACTCCTTGACACCTTGACTCCTTGACGCCTTGACTCCTTGACTCCTTGGCTCCTTGGCTCCTTGGCACCTTGGCTCCTTGGCTCCTTGACACCTTGACTCCTTGACTCCTTGGCTCCTTGGCACCTTGGCTCCCTGACTCCTTGACACCTTGGCTCCTTGACTCCTTGACTCCTTGACTCCTTGACGCCTTGACTCCTTGACACCTTGACTCCTTGACGCCTTGACTCCTTGACACCTTGGCTCCTTGACTCCTTGACACCTTGACTCCTTGACGCCTTGACTCCTTGACACCTTGGCTCCTTGGCTCCTTGGCTCCTTGGCTCTTTGGCTCCTTGGCTCCTTGACTCCTTGACTCCTTGGCACCTTGGCTCCTTGGCACCTTGACTCCTTGGCTCCTTGGCACCTTGGCACCTTGACTCCTTGGCTCCTTGGCACCTTGGCACCTTGACTCCTTGGCTCCTTGGCTCCTTGACACCTTGACTCCTTGGCTCCTTGGCACCTTGGCACCTTGACTCCTTGACTCCTTGGCTCCTTGACACCTTGACTCCTTGGCACCTTGGCACCTTGGCACCTTGACTCCTTGACTCCTTGACTCCTTGACGCCTTGACTCCTTGACACCTTGGCTCCTTGGCACCTTGGCCCCTTGACTCCTTGACTCCTTGACACCTTGACTCCTTGACTCCTTGACTCCTTGACACAGCTGATTGGATCTCAGTGTTCAGGGGTCACTGGACCGTGTCGTGGTCAGCTGAAGGTCCTGGTCTCTGGTCGTTCCTGCTCCTCCACATTCCTGCGATCAGAAATCCACCCGTTAAGAAGCTTTACCATAGACTAACCCTAACTCCACTGGTACCAAAGAGAACTTTAGAACCAAATCCTTGGACTGGATTATGTCTGGGTTTCTGCTGCTGTGGTTGATGGTTCAACTCCTGGGGCTGAGAGCAAAGAACCTTTTATATCAGGATGTGAAGTTAAAGGAACTTCTTCTTTTGCTCTGACCATGTGTACCTCTGACCATGTGTACCTCTGACCATGTGTACCTCTGACCATGTGTACCTCTGACCATGTGTACCTCTGACAGTCTGTATGTTTGGACCAGTCAACTTCTACAGAACCTTCTAGAAGTCTGTGTCTGAATCTGAATCTGATTCAGAATGGCTCTGGTTCTGACTGGTTCTGATCCAGATGACTCACATTCTCATCTGGTTCTGGTTCTGGTTCTTCTCAGGCAGACCAAGCCTCTGACCTTTGCTGACTGTATTGGGGACGAGTTGCCCGTGGGATGGGAGGAAGCGTACGACCCAGTGGTCGGGGCCTACTATGTGGACCACAACACCAGTGAGTTCTAGTGTCTGTTCAGTCTGATGTTCCCCGGTTCTGTCCACCCTGTCCACTCCCCCCTCCTCCCTCTTCTTCTTCTTCTTCTGCACAGAGAGCACTCAGCTGGAGGACCCACGGGTTCTGTGGCAGCGGGAGCAGGAGGCCATGTTGAAGGAGTACCTGTCGGTGGCCCGGGACGCCCTGAGCGCTCAGAAGGAGATCTACCAGGTGAAGGAGCAGCGTCTGCAGCTGGCCCAGCAGGAGTACCAGCAGCTGAACCACACCTGGAGGGACAAGTCCACGTCCCAGACCAGCTGTAAGTCCAGACCACCTTCAGACCTGAACCCGTACCTGCTTCAGGTCTTCTCCCTCATTCTGGTCTCCTCCGTCCTTCTGCAGTGAACTCTCGATCGTCCACGTCCAGTAAATACGACCCTGATATCCTGAAGGCGGAAATAGCCACGGCCAGGAGTCGAGTAAGAGACACACACACACACA